AGTTCACTGGTGTTGAGCCTTGTGTATGGATTGGGAAAGGCAATGACAGCTGTTATTGCTGCGACAATGATGACCTCCAGGACAGGGTACTTCCCAAACTTTGTTGATTTGCGGCGGCGGCACCAGGCGATGTTTGCACGAATGAAAAATGCTCCCCAGAGCCCACCAAACACCCCCAGGAGAATGAAAGGAAGTAGTTCAAAAAGGTACCAGGGGGTGTGGTATTCCACATAAAAAAGAACTAGACGGCTGTTACCAAAAGGATTGATGGATCTCAAAACAAAAGCAGCAACTAAAGCTGCAAAAAAGGACCGCCACAAAGTTTTTAGCGGGAAGTAATAACTGACCTGCAAAGGGGAAAAGTTAGAATTACCAGCAGTTCATTTTAACAACATTTCAAAGTAAAATCCACAGAAAATAACAGCTATTCCATCCTTTGTTCGCACTAAGCAAGAAAATACTGGGTTATCAACCAATAATAGCAATTCTGGACACTTCTGTATATTATTTTATATGTTTAAAGTGCTATAAGGCATTTCATAATTATGCTGTATCATCTTTAATGGACAAAACAGTGCAAAAACAATGCTAAAAGCATTATCACATCAAGACTTTGGCAAAATTCTTGGGAATGGTAATGTTTTTTTAAATTACTCACTAAATTTTAACAAATAGTTATGGCCTTAACATACTCTGCTGTGATCTCTGCTATGCACACCACCTGCTGAGGCACTCTATCAGCCTTCTTTAAAACGTGCCGCTGTTACTAACAATGGTTTGGCTCCACTGAAAGTGGTACTGTAGAAAGTGCTTCAGGTGGCTAATGGGATTTCAAGAACTATTGCCAAGATACGAAAACATTGCCACCTAAAATCAGGCCTGCTAATTCATCTATAATTAGCATGATTTTCGAATAGCCTTGAACATCAACTTCCAAGACATTTCTTTTTTCCTTTTTGTTTATTCTTAAACATTAGAGACGATTCCAGAATACTACAGCAATAAGGCAGAAATTACATGTGGAAAAGTCTCCTGGCTGCTTCTTTTCTTCACCTCTAATGTTCAAAGCATTGAAACTGGGATTTTTAACTAGATCTAAATTAGGTGTCTCATATAGATGATAATGCTCTGAAATACACTCCTAAGTCTACCAAATACAGAAAAAGGGCGGGGATACTGAACTAAAAATGCATATTCATGAGGGAAGAATTTCACTGGCTTGAAGTTTAGTTTTATAGTATAATATCTTTATAGATATAATGTTACTAGCCAATTGCCCGTCAAGAATGACAGGGGTGTGGGGGAACAGGGGGCTGGGATGGAGTGCTGCCACGTAATGCCCCATGCTGCCACTGTTCTGCCTCTTGCAGGGAGTGGGGTGGGGGAGCCAAGGCCAGCGGCACCTCTGTGCGGCCCTCAGCGCAGCGTCGGAATCATTGCAGCACTCCCCCATGCTTGGAGCACTCCAAATGGCTGTTTCCATCAGCCAAATCAGAGTGTGAATAAAGTGTTACAGACAGACAGACAGACTTAGGTTTTTATAATATTAGAATGATGTTTTCAGTTATTAAAAAAATGTAGAATCCCTGTTGGACCAATGCCTGTTCTATCAAAATGGATAGAAAGAACACCTTTATTTGCCTTTTTTTTTAAATTAACAAAATATATTTCTAGCATCAGAAAATTAGAGTGTTAGAAGCAAGTTGGCAAGACCACATGAGCTGATCAGCACTTTCTGCAATACACTAGATTAAGAAGGCTCCTACATGTACAATTTTTTAAATATAAACTGTAGGGATTAAAAACAGGCAAGGATTTAATTGCACAATAACATCCCCCCCACCAGCAGCTTCAGTTCTTGGTAAGTACTCATCTTCTTTCTTTCCCAATATGGGAGAATTTTAAATTGTCACCAGGAACATTTGGATTAACTCTATTCATGAAATATAAAACAGAAACAAAGAAAAGTTAACCTATGACAGTCATATGAACCAGTGTTATCTGAGGAGTTTGCCCATAACAGAACTTATGATGTGAATGTCTAAGATCATACATTTTATGAAGAAAAATCACCAAAGTGAATGAATCAAAGTCAAATAACTGTCACACCAATATAATAAAGCAATACTACCTAAGGTGGGCTACTGCTCAAGTTGCTGAGGAGGACCCTATGCAAAGAAGCTATACAAATAATTCATTGCAGAATCAGGGCTCATGGAAGAGTCTTACAAAAGGCTCCGGATATAAAAGGTTTGAGACTACTGGTGTTAAAACATTCCTTTTTCAATACATTTACATACATCATCTCTTCACATACCTCCTCCAGACTAAAAAGGACTCCACCAATTGGGGCACCAAAGGCTACTGATACTCCTGCTGCTGATGCAGCTGATAACACCTGGAAAAGATGAACGATGAGATTTTGTTTTGGTGTTTGTTTAAACTTATTGCTATGACAGACCAGTAAGTATTTATATGGCAGCAAAGACCGTAGAATCCTAAAAGACAAACTGGTGATCTCCTCCCTGCCTCCTGCAAAAGGTACAACTGCTTATTCTGTGCACTATATCCTGTACTGCCATTCTAGCTTCTCTTGTTAGTCTTTTCTCAATGAGCGTTCTTCCTCCCAGCTTCTCTTGTGATGACAGCTCTCTGCATCACCTAACTGCTATGGGACAGGAGTTTTAGCCAGCAGCAAAGCCACTATTACAGAAGTACAATAGTTCAAATTAATAGTCAAACATTATTTCAGGAGCTGATTAAAAGCAACTGGAATTAATATGAGCCAGTGATGGAGGAAGCTCACTGCTCACATCTCATGGGCACTAGCAGCAACATTCAAAAAGGGAGCAGTGGGTAGGCCCTGCCATGAAGAATCAGTTCTGAATAAAATATTGGAGAGACAGATGCTTAGAAAATACCTGATGAACCTTCCAGTAATTTTGAATCCTAAATTGTAGATGTGATTTTCAAGGGGGTGGAGATCTGGTGCTACATATGAAACACTTAATCTAGAAGATTAACTAGCTGGTCTAATGCAGGCGTGGGCAATTATTTTGGGCGGAAGGCCACTTACTGAGTTTTGTCAAGCCATCGAGGGCTGCATGACAGGCAGCCAGGGGCAGATAAATATTAATTTTCTAAATTTTTTAAGGGCCCCACGGGCCAGATAGAATAGCCTGGCGGGCTGCATCCAGCCCACGGGCCACATTTTGTCCACCCCTGGTCTAATGAAAGATATCACCTCTCCCACAAGTCCTGATTGCTTTAATCTAAAAGACACCTTTTCCCTTTGCATTTGGTCAAGTGAATTGGGTTTTTTTTCCATATGTCAATAAATTACAGAGTATTTTTTCTTCAGTTTCCTATCTACGCTTTTTTGCTTTCATTGTGGACAATGAACAGTAGAAGTACAACATGTGGCCACCATTCTATATGGTCCTTAGATAATGCGACCAAAGGAGGAGGGGCTTTTTTATTTTTGACTAGTTTCTGTCTTCCATTCTTTTTCTTCCTGCATTCTATCCTTTTTTCTATTTCATTCCCTCTGGATCTCCTTTCTCCTTTTACTCTTTCTTTCCCCCTTACTGTGGTCTCCTTATCTCTATTTCCACCCTTTACTATTGAACACAGGATACATCTTCTGTTTTGTTTTAAAGCAAGGATTCTCAGGCTGCAAGCTAAGCAGAATTGATTATAAAACATAATTTTTCAAGTTTTAAGAAGAACTTACCTCTCTTTTTTTAGCTTCATTTGTGCTGTACTTTGGAAAGAGGTAGGAAAAAATATTCCCGCAGCAACAAGCTACATGTACCAAAGGACCCTCCTTTCCTAAGCTCAAGCCTGATGCTACAGCCAAGACTAAAGTGACGGTTTTAATCATCAAGGTCCACTTGCCCAAGTAACCTCTGATGATGAAGCCACTCAAGATAGTTTTAATCTAAGAGAAAAAAAAAACCATGTTATTGCACTTCATTTTCTTTAGAAAACATACAAACTTTAAAGTTCATAGGATTTTAACTTTCCCATTTCAGAAATGTAGCTTAAAATGATATATTTGAGGTTTTTTTCCTGAAGAATACCACACTCTTAAAACATTTGTTTTCAAATTACTAACTGAATGTCAAATTATCTACATTCAGTTTGTTTACCAGAAGCCTACTGCTTATGATACATTTACACTATTATCTAAGAGGTATATCCACACATAATGCAGTGGCATATGGCATCTCTGTGGATTGATTATATTAAATAGAAAAGATACCTGCAGTCATGTACAAGACTGTATTCATTAAATAGCTTTATTATGTAACCTGACAAATGCTAATTATAAAATTCTTGCAGCAGAAACAAACTAACTATGAAAACTGTATTCAGAGATACTAATTAATTATTTTCATTAACCTGAATCCTAATATGCTGTTTTGCCAGTTTTACTCTTCCTTATATTCTCAGTTGGTATTGTAAACAACATGCAAGGGTAAGGCTAACACATACTGATAAAGAAAAGCTGCTATTTTCACTAGAAAAAAAATTACATCTTTCAAATGCATTTCTTTGCCTAATAGTATTATGCCATTAGCCAGAAAAAATGGATAAACAGTAACACACTCAGAGCAAGTAAAATTCAAACGGGCACCATACAAATATGCTATAAGGCAAGGGTGAAAAACTCATCTGACCTTGTGGGCTGCATAAGTGGTGTGGGGCCAGGCCATAGGACAGACTGGGCCCATGGACCTGCCCTTCCTCCCTCTACTTGCCAGATCCAGTGTATGCATAGTTCACTCTGGCTGGTCCAGGACTGCACTGCATGTGACACTGGTCCAGGATGTATGCCACATGCAGCACACACTTCAGCTAGTCTGGGAGCCCTGCTGCACACCGCACCCACCTAAGAGAAACCGGCAGAGGGGTGGGGGGATGCGCTACATGCATGGCCGGTGCTGGATGGGAGACCCTTATCTCCCAGCAACAGCTCCAGGACAGCAGGGCCAGCACTGGGAGATAAGGGTCTCTCAGCACTGGCCCTGCGGTTGTGGAGCTGGTGCTGGGAGCTCCCTGCTGGAGGGGGCCGGGGAGCCTGTTTCCCAACCAGTTCCACAAGCGTGGAGCTGGGTGGTGTGGAGGAAACAGGCGGGGGAGCTTGTTGCACACTCAATTCCATGATCACAGAGCTGTGGAGAAGAACAGGCTGGAGAGGCTCCACAGCTTGTTCTCCCCCCTAGCTCCAGGCTTGTGGAGCTGAGCAAGGAACAAGCTCTCCAGCCCCTGCCTGGCATGCAGAGCAGGAACTGTCGTGGTCAGGGACAGGTTCCAGCCCCAAGCCCCAACTGGGTGATCAAGGCACGAGGCTTGGAAATAGCTGCAGAGGTGGGATAGGTCCCAGACCGCTGCCTTGATCCACCAATTCCCTGCTGATGGTTCCCTGCATGTGTAGACCCCTGCCTGGCACTGTTTATTCATGAACAGTTTTCTTGCAAGTAAACTGGTGCAGCAGAAAATGCATGTATAGACGTGCCCACTGTATGTCATATGTGGCTCAATTCTGGACCCCAAGGCAGCATTGAAGGCCAGATGATGGGGCTTCACCGTAGTTTTTAAACCCCTGCTATAAGGGAAATAAAAAAATAGCTTTCCTTGCAACAGAGGGCAGGATAGGAGGTAATGGATTTAAACTGCAGCAAAGAAGATGTACTTTGAAATCTCAAGGAAAGCTTCCTAAACCATAGGACAAAGGAGCAGACTGCTTCAGGGAGTTGTGGAATTTATTTCCTGGTATCTGATTTTGATGGTTTAGGAACAGCAAATCCTGCCATTGAATTGGGTTGGATTAGGTGACCTTTGAGATCCTTCCAGCCCTTTAATGCTATAATCCTATAATTTAAATGTTAGCAGTGTAAATTTAGATAGATTTCGGATCAATCCAGCATTTGGATAAATGCATAAAATTTTTCCTTATTTCAAGGGAGACTCTTCTGCAAGGACAAACCCTTGGACCTCAGAGCCTTAAAAATCTTGGGTAATACTTATAAACAAGCAGTCATTCTACAAGAATGACTAGAAAGTGCAATTCTTACAATTCTGAAGTTAGATTGGTGACGAGTAGTTATACAAACAACAAGACTTTGCTGTTATTTGCTCAAAAAACATTTTTACTTTATTACCTGGTTGCACATCAGTTTGCATTTACTAAAGACAATAATGGGTAATGCAGCAAAAGATTAATTACTGCAATAAAGGGCATCACACTGCAAAAATGAATTACTGCTCTATCATCACTAAAATGGCAAGACAGAAAAAAATCACTCTTCAGAGGTCTCCAGAACAAACCAAAAGTCTCACTGTAAATTCAGGTCATCTGGAAGCAAATTCAAGAACTCAGGCAACATTATTTTTAGACTGCTGGTATTTTTTTAGTGCAATGAAAATTATTACTTCTATTAAAGTATAGTATTGTACATACATTAAAGGTTTGTTCTTGCCTTCCCCTCCCTGCA